CCAGGTCTAAACAAGTTCTAAACCAGGACTACCAAGCACAAATCACCAGATCCAAACCAAATCTAAGATATAAGGTCTAAACCTGGCAACACATTCAGGCCTAAACCTAAACTAAAGCAAATCATAAAATATAAAAGAAACTAGTATCCTGTTCCAAAATTTGAGAATTAATCAATGTTCAACAATCATCAGCAGCAGCACATCACATTATCTGTCATGGTTCTTGTTTTATGGTTGTAGTTTGTGTTTTATTTTGACATTTGTCTGTCACCTTGTATTTTTGAGTTTTCCTTCCTGTCTTGATTGTTTGCCCCGCCCTAATGTGTTTCACCTGTGTCTATGTGTGTGCATTTATACCCTGTGTTCTCCTCTGCCCTTGGTTGGTCCATTGTCCCTGTCTGAGTTTCTCTGTGTCTCTTGTCATGACAATTTAGTCTTGAGTTCTGGATTTTTTTGTTTTGTCATTAAATATTTTGAAGCAGTCCTGCGTTTTGGGTCCTTCCTCTGTTTCCACGTGACAATGGACCAACCAGTTCTGAACCCAAGCAGTCTGCTCTACTTTTTTATTTTTTATGTGTGGGGAAGTGGATTGTCTCCTGCAGTCCCAGGACTAAGCCTGCCTGAGTTTGCCACCTCCAGAAGTGTCACCAGGAGATATGGGGCTTGCAGGAGGCAGCCCGGCCCTGCTTGTTCAGCCCTTCCTACACCTCAGCTCCCACCTGTTTCGCAATAGCCACTGGAGCCCAATGCCAGTGCAGACTGCTCACCATCCTGGATCCTATTCCGTTGAAGCCTTTGTTGGAGCTTCTGACCTCAACCTGCTGTTTCTGTTCCTGAGCCACTGCTGGACACTTCTCTCCGTCTGGGGTGGTTGTTTCCCTGTGTCCCTGCTGCAGCTTCGCTGGACACTGTTCTCCGTCCAGGGAGCTTGCCTCCAGATCCTTCCCCTGCTCCTCCTCAAAGTGTGCTCCAAACGATGCTTCTTGTCTCGGTCTTTGCCATTGCCATTGATCTCTTGTTCCTCCTCCGGGTCCCCCTCCACCCTCCCGACTTCATTGTGACTCCTTTGGACGTCTGGGAGCCGTCCCTTCAGGGGGGGGTACTGTCATGGTTCTTGTTTTGTAGTGGTTGTAGTTTGTGTTTTATTTTGACATTTGTCCTGTCACCTTGTATTTTTGAGTTTTCCTTCCTGTCTTGATTGTTTGCCCCGCCCTAATGTGTTTCACCTGTGTCTATGTGTGTGCATTTATACCCTGTGTTCTCCTCTGCCCTTGGTTGGTCCATTGTCCCTGTCTGAGTTTCTCTGTGTCTCTTGTCATGACAATTTAGTCTTGAGTTCTGGATTTTTTGTTTTGTCATTAAATATTTTGAAGCAGTCCTGCGTTTTGGGTCCTTCCTCTGTTTCCACGTGACATTATCTGTCAATCAAGTAAAATAAATAAATAAAAGAATACATAAATAAATCAAAATAATCTTGAAATCCTAGTCCTGATTTTCCGTGTTTTCCCTGTATCCGCTGTGCCAATCTCCCTGTATCTGGACTGTGTGATTGCAGTCTGGCAGTGAGAATACATTACCCATATGTTAAACAGCTTTACAGATCATCTTTAAAGACTTGGGCATTTCTTGGACTTTATCTGAATTAAGTCATGAGAAATACACTGATTATGACACACAGGCAGCCTGGAGCCAGAGACACATTTTATGCCCAGACTGAGTTGACCGGACTGGGTACAGTTGTCTCAAAAGTCCCCTGGGCGAAGCTTTGGACGAGTGGAGGTGACTTCTCCGAACTTAATTTGCCAATAGGGATAAGCCTGACACAGCTCTTTACTGCTGATGTCCCAGAGGAGGGCATTATCGCGCACAAGGTTGCCAGGTTTGTCCGAGAAAATGATCATGAATTTGAGCTATTGAGCCGAATGTAGTTTTATAATGACCTGGTTTGATAGAGAAGTGATATAGTTGTGAACTGAAAAAGTAACAAGAGTCAGGTTTGTGGATATGCAATCCCACTCACAGTAAAGACGTTTTTCTATGTTTTTCACGTTTTGCTATATTTATTGCTATGCTGTTGCTATGGTTTCATCATAGACTGTATATATAAATGGACATAACTAACCTACTAGCTACCATGTTCCAAAGGCTCCATCAGTTGACCGGTGCAGCACACAACAATATAAAAGGTAATAAAATAAACTCAGATTACAAAAAATATAGACACATACCAGATACAAATGCTAAAGTCAACAGGTGAGTTTTAAGAGCTGATTTTAAAACCAAAAGTGATTCCCAAACTTTTTTTCTGGGGACCCATATTTTGCAAGTCACAAACTTTTGCAACATAAAGTCAATAGACATTATTTATAAATCACAATATAAAGATGGATTTGACCATTATTGAACATTAATGAGGATATTTTATTGTTGACTGAGTGATCATGTCTCTCTGAACAATTAGTATTACTCAAGTTTTAAACAATGAGAAACAGTCATTGAACCAGAAATTAAAGGATCCATAAGTCGCCTATTTGGACATTAAATGTAGCCCATTTCTTTTTCTTTTCAACTTTCAGCTGAACCAGCAATATTGGAACAAAATACTCAATAAAATAATTACAAAAAGATTAGAAATTATACAAAACATGTCTTAACATTTCAACATTTCAAATGACATAGGTGGGATCAGTCTGTCTCTGTGCTTTGTCTTCATTTTTGTGAGCACAGAAAATCTCATATGTCAGAAGTGTATATTATAGACGTACATGCAGATCATGACAAGGCAACCCCAAAAAAATGTCTTGCGACCCACCTGAAGGTTGCAACGTAATCTTTGGGAAACAATGGTCTAAGGTGCATGGGCAGCGCATTCCACAGTTCTGGACCCACAACAGAGCAGAACAGTCCCCCCTAAGTTTTCCTTACTCTTCATCAGACCTGCACATTGTCCAGCTCCTGGGCCACATGTGATCCTTTGGTTGACTTTGACCCCTTTAAGCTAATATGGAATAGCAAAATAAACATATTTTATCATTTTACTTCATGCATGGACTAAAGCGGCATTGCTTTTATTTTAGAGGACATTTTTTTTGTAAGGCAACCGCACTTTTTCATTGCTTAGTCATAATATAAACTGTTACCAGTCTTACCAGCATAAAGAAATACAATTAATATTATGCAAAATTGAGTTAAGCATTTTGGCTCTCGTGTTTTTATTTCACTATTTTGTCTGTAAATACATTTCTATTTTTATTATAGAACTCAGGCTCCAAATTGCTTGCCTCAATGAGTTTTGTTTGACTGGAGCTGAAAGGTACAGGGGACGTCACACTCCCTTAATCCACTTCTTTACACAGTCTGTGGTTTTCATGAAATAAGCACAACTAAAATGCACAAATGCTTTTATTTTAGTCAAATGAGCTTTAAAATGTGGCTTTAAAATGTGACATCTTCAAATCCAGCACTAACCTCTGCATTTATTTACACTAAATCACTACAATGTTGAGACTATATAGGAGACTAAACTTCAACTCCCAAGATGCAATGCTGGTATAACACTGTTACCTCTTTGTTGCTGTAGTGAAAATTGCTTTGGGACTCGGTGGATTGGCCCAGGCTCAGGTGAGACAAAAGCTCTTTAGTGATAGTCTGTGCTGGCCCTTGTTACTGTGAAGTCTTTCCACGGTGTTTAAACTATAATGTCATTTCTTCACTTCCTGGGAATCACAGGGCCCCTCATGATTTGATTAGTCACACAATAGTATAAAACGTATCACAATATGGTCATACATCAGTCAGTATGTATAAGGGGTTTAGTATTTCTAAACCACTACCAGTCCTTGCACATTCTTTTTATGAAATGTCTGTATTTTAAAGCCCCAGTATGTAACCAAAACAGACTAAAATAAAAGCATGTACCATTATGGATGGTTTTATTGCACTGAAATGTGTATAAAACATACATCCTTCCTGTGAGTGGGCTTGCATCTCCACAAACCTGACTCTTATTTGGCTTGGAGGAAATGTTGTTCCTTTAGCTATAAACTTGCACAGTGTCACAAAAATGATTCTATTTCCAAGGAGAATTTTCCAAAGTATGGTTTTAATTTTCTATTTCCAGGAAATCATGCAGGTGACGTTCCGCCTCCAGAAAGTATCACTTGAACCATCAAAACTGTGACACTTCAACACTTCAGCTTTCTATAAATAACCAACATCACCCAAAAAATATGAGGCATTCTGATTCTAAGCAAGCGTGGCCTGGCCTGGTTAGTACTTGGACGGGAGATTGTGGGAGTACCAGGTACCACAGTGGAGCAGCAGTGACATTAGTGCAAACTGTTGTTGTGTCCTTAGGCAAGACACTCCACCCACATTGCCTGGTGGTGTGTGAGTGTTGGTGTATGGAGTGACTGAGTAATGCCCTGCAAAGCGCTTTGGGTGTCATTTTGAAAACCTCTACATAAATCCAATGTATTATTAGACAATTTTTATTATTATATGCATACCATACTCCCTACAACTTTACAACAACTCACTCTTATGTAACAGATAACCCTGTGTCCTGTCAATCAATATATCATCTTGCACTGTTTCTCCTTACGACCTCTTGTATCTAGCTGAGATATATTTGTATCACTATATTTCTATATTTCATTTTTATTTGTACATATACATTTACATAATTATGCCTTGCTTGACATCAGTCTCTTAATATGGATGCTACTTATTTTGAATTTATTAATAACATTTATATTTTTACTCAATTTCCAAAACAATTCCAAAACAAAACAAACAATTTCCCTTGTGGATCAATAAAGTTTGTCTAAGTCTATACTGTAATGATTAATATTAACATTACATCCCCATCTGAAATCATCGCAAAAATGTCCATCAAACTACAGTAATACGCACTCATCCACAACTTTCTTACGTGTAAAAACTGAAAATAACATGGAATTGTTAAAAAACAAAAACATGATAATCTGTATTACACTGACCGTTTGTTTTATGTCCGGGATCCCAATTCGAAAAACCATCATGGCGATCGTGGCATCCTCTGATGTCACCGAGCTGCGTTCCTTCAGCCTCCTCTGCTGCATCTGATTGGATGGCTGCTGCTGGTGGGCGGGGCCTGGGTTTGACGAATAGGGATTGGCTGTGTGCGCGGGGTTTCCTGTCCTCATCTGTCCTCTAGGGGGCGCCTTGGTGGACCTGCTCCGAGACAACCCGCCGCGGTGCACGTCCATGTCGTCTTCCAACTCCCCAGACACCTCCTCCGTCTCGTCCTCTAGCTCCTCTTCTTCTTCCTCCTCCTCCTCTTCCTCCTCCTCCGCCCCGGGGTACAGGTGTCGGCTGTTTCCCAGCATCCTTTGCTGCTGCTCGTCGCTGGACGGGAGGCTAAAGGGCGTCACGGCAAGAGGGAGGACGGCGCCATCTTTAGCACCGCCATGATCACATACGCGCTGAGGAGGAGAGAGAGAAGAAGAGCGGTTAGAAAGCAGGGAAAGTGAAAACTATCATGACGTCAGTCAGTTATTATTTAAAGTTGTACTATGTAACTTTTCTGGTGGGGTTGTGCCAGAGGCCAAGTCATTGTTTTGCAAGTTTCAAGTCTCAGGCCTTTGACCTCAAGTCCAAGTCAAGTCCCAAGACAAATACAGGCAAGTCCAAGTCCAGTCTCGAGTCACTGGTCCATAAGTCCAATGTATCAACTTTAAAGAGAAAAGTATTTTCTAAAAACATATTTTTTAGGAGAAACATCAAGTCTTCTCAAGTCACAGGCCTCAAGTCCGAGTCAAGTCCCAAGTCACTGACCTTCAACTCCAAGATGAGTCCCAAGTCTTAGTCCATTTGATCAAGTCAAGTCTCAAGTCCTAAAAATACTGACTCAAGTCTGACTTGAGTCCAAGTCACGACTTGCAAGTCCCAACCTCTGGGATGTGCCATCGGCTTGTCAGCATGGAGATGTTATAGCTTAGTCTGGAATCTTCTGCAGTATGGCCTTAAACTTTCTTTTAGTTTTAAGTTTGATGTGTTTTTATCATCTGCTCTGAGAAAGCACTGGGCAGAGAGACTCATAAATGAATTTTCTGAAGTAATTTCATTGTCATGTTTTTTGTATCTTGTTTTTTCCTTTTAATCATGAACCAAATAATCTTTGTGGCTAAAAAAATGCCTTGTCGCCTGCTTGTCTTCACTGAGATACATTTCTTATAACAAGTGATACACTATTATGGAGCATTTCAAGCAAAGAAATAACAAATCCACGGAGACAAGCAAGAATGAAACTGAAACGAAATCTGTTCTTGCGCAAATGATCCCCATCCTGAAACATGCAAAGTCCATATGGAAAGGTCATGGGAGTCAAATCTGGAATCCTCGCTGCATAGCTCCTCGCTGCATGGCGAGGATGCTGTGCACTACACCACGCATTTAGCTGAAGGAATGCATACATTAATTAACCTGGCAAAGCAAGATGGATTCCAGCAATATCTGTGAGTTCACAAGCTCACGAGAATCCATCTTGACGCCCGCTGGAGCAACAAGCCCCGACAGGTGGAGGGCGACCAATCACAGAGCAGCACTGAGGTTTGTGTTGACGCCAAAGGTGAAACATGGCGATGCAGACAGATGAACTTGAGCCTATTTTAGTGTCAGTACAGGCTATTTTGTTTATGAAAAATGTATAGAAAGTAAGAGCTTTGTGCCGCTGTTGTGATGCTTCGACCGATCAGATTCAAATATAACCGTCATGACACTGCGCATTTTCCAATCTCTTTCAAAGCCATACCAGACTGAAATTGTGTAGAACTCAATTCAGCGTCAGTGAGTCAGGTTTAAAGTCATGTAGTTAATAGGCAGATTTTGGTATAGTGCATGTTTAGGAGATGGCCAGGGGTAGTCCTAATAAATTCCACATCATAACACTAAATGCTTCTATACTTTGAGTCTTAGAAAATGCAGCGCTTTTGAAACTCAAGACAAATTGTGACAGGAGGCCAATTAGTGAGAACCCTTTTGCTTTTCTCCGTCTTCAATAACAGCAGCACAGGCCAGTATCCTAAAGTAACTCCTGTGCTTCTGTCTCATCGCGAGTCTGTCTGCAAACTTTCCACATCGCCAAACAACAATCTCACCGCTCAGATTGACCTACTCCTTCTGTCCATTCTAATGTGTGCATGTTTTTCTCCATTGGTTCATATAATAGTCTGTGGTTTCACATAACAGCCTCTACAACAGATGACAATGTGAGTCAATAGCTATAAACAGATAAAAACATGACTTACTACATACAAGGTTTATTACACAAGTCCCTCAAAAGGGCAGTGCTGGAAGAAGTACTCAGTTTTGTTACTGAAAGGGTGCATTGTGTAACTTTTCTAGTGAAGGGTTTGTCAAATGCAACCTTTCTGTCTTCATGGAGAGCAAACCAAGCCAAGTTACAGGTCAGATCTGTGGAGAGGGGACCCCGCTCACAGTGAGAATGTCGATTTTCTCTTTATTTTTAAGTGGTAAAATCAGTTGCAATTGAATAAATGTAAAGTAGAGCTGTGGAACATTCCAGGCAGAACAGTGACATCTTCATAGAAGCATGAAGGCGTCGGACCTTCAACCCACAAGCAAAAGTACAGACACCGGCCCCAAAAAGTACTCAAGTAAAAGTAAAAGTATCACAAAAATACACTTAAGTAAATGTATTAAAGTGCCCGTTTAAAAATGTACTTCAAGAGTAAAAAGTTCAGTTTTTTGAGATCTCATAAAGTTTCAGATATAGTGATTTTGATACAGAAAAATCAATCTTTTTTTTTCTATCTGTTTTTATTTATATATTTTTGTTTGCTCAAACTACAACTGTCTTAAAAATAAACCCTCTGCCTTTTCAGCAGGTCTCAAACAATTAAAAAATACTTTCAGTCCAGTTCAAAAATAGTAGTAGTAGTAATAGTAGTGGCAGAGTAGAAAGTACAGCTAGCTGTCAAGTCAACACTGCACCAATTTGCTTTAAAGTGCCCATACTACACTCTTTTCTGATCTATGTTATAATGTTGTTTCTGCATCATTTGGATAATCTCAACACTGGAATTGCCAATCAGGTTAGCCTGATTCATCAGCCAGTTTCACTTCATGGAAACCATCTGACCTCGCAGCATTAGGATTCGTTCGCTCAACGATAAGCGGGTACTTTTTTTTATTTAACCAATTGCTGCTATTTGGTTGTGACATATGTAATGCGCAAAACCCTGTAGGAAGAAGAGCAATAACGTCTTTCCTCTTGATAACATTCACCAAACATTCTCTTTAAATCCTCGATCTCGGGAATCGTTGCCAACACAGAATGTATGGCTTCATCTACATCCATCTCAACTGTTTTGTTTACTGTTGTGCTGTTCCACAAAAGGGACCAAGACAGGCGCCTGAGTTTGACGACATGGATGTCATGCCTTTTCACTGATTGGTCGGTGCACGGTCTACATCTTCCTGGTTTCTTGCAAACTGTCTAGTCTAGTGTATTCCGATTCCTGACCTAGTTGCTGGAGTGAAATGAAATTGCACTAGGTGGTGCCAGCCTGACTAGTAAGAGGTAGTTGTTAACTTGAAAACTACCGCTTCATGACATCACAAGGTGCAACAGAGCATTTTGAGTTTTGGAAATGTAGACAGATTAAAAATGAAGGTATAATGAAAAGTGTGAATGAAAGAAAACACAACTCCGGTTATGTTTATGATGAGGTAACAACATTATAACATAGTTTAAATCTCACAAAAGTCAGCTTTGTGTAATGTAGAACCTTTGCAGTCTGTATAGAACTTATTCGCTGTCAGGATCTGCAGCCCAATGCAAAATAGTCCTACTCAAATGACGATAGTGGTGCCCATGGCAATGTCTATACAAAAATAATTCAAGTTCACTCATTGGAAAGTTTGTTTATAATAATAAAATATAGTTTCTAATCAGCTCCTTCTATAGTTGTCACAGATGTAAATATTGAAGTGTACTTTGAAGACTTCAGCTCCTCCATCATCTGATTAAAGTGAATATATTAGAAAGGAGCAGGATCAGTCTGTGGTCTGGAGCTTTGTGAGTCATACAAGCCCAGACCACACCAGCCCTCTCAGTGTCCGTCATTATTCACAGCCTGCACCGCAGACGCTTTTAAATCCTCTATCTCGCTTTTGTTTCTTTCCCTCCCTCCACTCTCCCCCCTCTCTCTCTATCTCTTCACTGTCTGTTCCCTCTCTGATTTTTCTAGGCCTCTCTATCGCTCTCTCTGTCACTGTTTCTCTTTCAATCTCTCTCTCTCTCTCGACTCTCTCTTCCCTTTCTCTCCTCTTTTTCTTTCCCACCCTCTCCACTTTCTATCTTGCCATTGTATGTTCCCTTTTTCTAGTGTCCCTCTCTCTCTTCCCTCTTTCTTTCTTTCCTACCCTCTCTACTTTCTATCTCGCCACTGTATGTTTTCTTTCTCTCCTGTCCTTCTCTCTCTTTCTCTCCTCCCTGTCTCTCCCCCTCTCTCTGTCTCTCTTCTCTTTTTCTCCCTCTCTTTTTCTCTCCCTCCCTTTCTCACCCCTCTCTCTTCCCTTTCTCTCTACCTTCTCCATGTCTCTCCCCTCCCTCTTTCCTTTCTCTCTCCATCGCAATGCAATCTCTCTCTTTTTATTTCTTTCTCCCACCTCCCTGTCTCTCTCCCTTCTCTCTCTCGTCTTTCTCAATTCCCTCTCTACCCTGCTATCTCCCTCAAAGTCTCTTCCCTCCTTCTCCACTCTATCTCTCTCTCTCTCGCTGTCTGTTCCCTTTCTCTCCTTTCTCGCTCTCTCTCCCCCTCTCTCTGTCATTCTTTCGTTTTCTCTCTCTTTCTTTCCCGGCCCCTTTTCTATCGTGCCACTGTATGTCCATTCTCTCCTTTCCTCTCTCTCCTCTTTGTCTCTCTCCCCTATCTCTATCTCTTCTCCCTTCCTCTGCTCTCTCTCTCCCCCTCCCTACAGTCTCTCTCTCTTTATTTCTTTTCCCTGCTTCTCTATTTTCTCCCTGTCTCTCACCTCTCTCTTCCCTTTCTCTTTTCTCTCGTTCCATCTCAATGCAGTCTCTTTCTCTTTATTTCTATCCCCTGCATCCCTGTCTTTCTCCCTTCTCTTCTCTTGCTCGTCTTTCTCAGTTCCTGCTATCTCATACTTTTTATCTCCCTCTATGCCTCTCCCCTCCCTCTCCGCTCTCTCTATCTCTTCACTGTGTGTTCCCCTTTTCTCCTCCTCTCCCTCGCTCTCTTTCTCTCTCCCTCTCTCTTTCTCTCCTCTCTCCTCTTCCCTGCAGTCTCTCTCTCTTTATTTCTTTCCCCCACCTCCCTGTCTCTATGTTTTTGTTTCTTTATCTCCCTCTCTCTGTCGCTCTTTCAATTTCTGTTTCTCTCTTTCTTCCCTCTTTCTCTCTTTCTCACCATTTTCCCTTTCTATCTCGCCGCTTTCT